TACAAAGCAGGAAAAAATGTGATACTGAAAAGAAGTTTTAATGGAGGAATAAGACCAACGGGATCGTGAAATAGCATTCCTTCCCTCACAAAAACCAACAATTTGACAGTTACTTTTGGATAATAATAACTCTGAAAGAGCTCGAGTGCACACACTGAAGCTACAGTCATACAGTGGATGAAATGACATCAAGTAACAGCAGGGTAGGAAAAGTAATTTTGGCAGCATTGTCCCATCCTCTGGTTCAGCATCACTCAGCAGGGTCAGAGTACTCAAGGACCCCTGAGTCTCACTTACAGGGAAAAGAAAAATGGGATGAACAACCAGTTCTCCAACACTTTGGGGCACTGCTTGGACAAGAGGCTTTGGGTTCATTTCACACAGGTTCACAAGGAGAAAGTCAGAGTCAGGATTCCTAGAGATGCCTGGGAACAAAGAAGGATAAGGGCTCTTGGTCTCAGTCTGTGGTCCAAGGTTTTAGCACTCTTTTGAGACCTGAACAGGTCTCATTGCTATCATGAGTCCATAGCAGCTTTCACTCCAGGACTTAAATGATCAGGGACACACACTTTGCCTCACAAAAAAAGTTTTAACTTAGTGATAAACAAACAGTTAAGTTCAGAATATTCAGAAAAGCTGTAATGGTAATGTGTAAATGACTGATAATTGAAGCACAGATGTTAAAACAAGGTAGGATTAAAAATAGCTGTAACTCACTTGCATCAACATAGCACAGAAAGTATGAGCGTAACTATTAGATAATGAAAATACACAGCAAAGATGGAAAAGAAAAAGTCTGTCTATAGACTGAAAAATCACAAGTCCCTACACGTGAAAACTTTAAATACACTACACACACACACACACACACACACACACACACACACACACACACATACACACACTCACATGCAAGCACAGAGGCTGAGAAACATCACCACTCCAACACACACAAAATCCGTCAGAAGTAATCAACAAATTCAACTACCTTGAGAATTTAAATATAACAAATATCAGTTGCAATTTTTTAATAGTGAAGTGTCACGGTAAAAAAAACAAGAAAATACTATTGTTTCTTGGAGGATCTGTCCACAAATAAATTACTTGTACACTAAAATATATTTTAAAAATTAGTGAAATAATTTGATTACTCGAGCAAGTGAAAAGATATCTTGTGCTCATGGATTGGAAGATTACTGTTATAATGACTTCACAAACCAAAATAATGTACAGTTCAGTGCAATTCTTACCAAAATTTCTAAGACATTTTTTGCAGAAATAAAACAAATAATCCTAAAAGTAGTATGTGCCACAAAAGAACAGATAATAAATTTTTAAAAATCTTGAGCAAAAAACCCCCAAGGCTATAGGCATCAAACATCTTTTTTTTTTCAAAATCTATAAATAGGAATCAAAATAATATGTGGCAAAAATAGGGCTCACATATAAACCCAACATACTTTGGTCAACCATTGTTTAAGAAGAATGCCAAGAAAATATAATGGGAGGAATAAGGTAATTTTTTTAATATTTGGTATTTTGAAAACCTCACTTGTAAAATCATGGAAAACTTCAAAACTACAAGAATCATTTCAAAATGAATGAAAGACCTAAAGATAACATTGTACTTCTAGATGACAACACAAATAAAATGTTCAATGATATTGGGCCCAGGAATGAATTTTTTGATATAATTTCAAGAATATTGCAACAAAAATTTGATAAATAAAGCCAAGTAAAACTTTAAAAAAGCTTATGCACAACCACAAAATAATCATAACAGAGTAGTAGTTAAAATATTGAGAGAAAATATTTGTGAACAGTTTATCAAATAAAGATTAATATTATATACATGGAACCCAATATTAAGAAGTTTCACTATAAGTTATCAAAGGAACTTTTACATTTTACGTGCCTTTTTTTGAAAGAAAATGTAAAATTGCAAGAGAAATACAAAAAAGTTAATATATGTCTATAAGAGGGAGATTGAAATCAAAGTCACATTAAAATATCTTCTTAAAATTGTTAGGGTTGCTATAATAAAAAAGACAATTGATAACAAGTGATAGTAAGAGCATGGAGAGAAGAGACCCCTATACTGTGCTACAGAGAAAGGCACAAGTGGTATGGAGAACACTGGGATTATTACTCCACAATAAACTGAACTACCAGGTGGCCCAGTAATTCCCTCTCTGATCATATACATTAAAATCCGCAACATATCTGCATTCACTATTCATTGAAGCATTGTTTATCACTGTAAAAAATTGAAACAACCTAATTTTCTGTCAGTAAATTAATGGATAAAGAATTTGTGGAATATGCGTGCTCAATGGAATATTATTCAGTGTTTTGAAGAAGGAGATCTTTCCATTTGCAACAGCACAGGTGAACTTTTAGAACCTGATGGTAGTTAAAATAATCCAAAAGAAGGAAGAAATATACTATATTGTTTCATTTTTATGTGTATTCTAAAAAACAGCAGAGAGTAGACCAATGGCAACCTGGGGCAGTGAAGTGGGGAAAATAGGAAAATGTAGGTCATAGCATGACAAGCTTAAGTTAAATAGAATTTATAAATATAGCAATCTAATGTATAGCATGAAGGTTGTGGTTAACAATATTGTATTACATTTTTAACAATTACACATAGTACATTTTAGTTGTTCTAAACATAAAATAAAGAGGACATTATGAGTGTGCTTATTGACTTCAATATAGTAGTCATCTCATTGTGCAATGTATATGAAAACACAGCAGCTAACTCTATACTGAATGGGAAAGCGTAAACCCCAAAATGCCAATTCCTATCACTTTTATTCAAAATGATGCTGGAGGTACCAACCAGTATAATCAGGAAGGACAGTGAAATGAAGAATAGCCAAACTAGAAAGAGAAAATTAAACTGCCCTTGTTAGTAGATGTACTTTATTTTTAGATAGTGTCTTGTGATGCAGTTCAGGCTAGCCTTGAATTCACTAAGCAGCCCACGCTGGCCTGGAACTCCTGGCAATCCTCCTACATCTACCTCCTTAGTGGTGGGATTACTAATGTGCACCACTGTGTTCAGCTGACAGGATTTTATATATAGAAAACCCCAATGACTCCACCAAATGACTATTACAACTAACAAATGAAGTCAGTAAAGTGGAAGGATAGAAAATCAACACACAAAAATCAGTAGCTTAGCTATACATGAATAGTTAATTATCTAAAATAGAAATCAATAATGCAATACTATTTATAATAGCTATATAAAATTCCTGGAAATAAATTTAAATGAAGTAAACAAAAACTATAAAATGTTTAGAAAAGTGATTGAGGATGAAGTGAAGAAAAAGAACGATGTCAGGTATTCATAAACTGAAAAAATCATATTGTTAAAATGTCCATATTACACAAAGCAATCTCTTTATTCAATAAAATTTCTATCAAAGTGCTGACTACATTCACAAAGAGTTAGAAAATACCTACTATATCGTAAATTTGTTTTGATGTATCTGAATGTATTCCTGGAACCACAAAAATCTCCTAATAATTAAATGTTTGAGCCAAATATTAGAACAAAGCAAGAGATACTATAAGATGTGACTTCAGAATATACAGGATTGTAATAATCAGAAGAGTCAATATTTGTATAACACAAACATATAGGTCATTAGAACTGAAAAAACAGGGTAGAAATAATCCCATATACTTATAACTGATTTTTAAGAAATGTACTAAAACGTCCATTGGTGAGAACTAAGCCTTTTCAATGAACAGTTTGGGGAAAATTGATTGTCTATATGAAACTACACCTCTCTTGGTGCTTTATAAAAACTAAGTCAAAATGTGCTGAGCAGTTGAACATGTGACTTTGAAGCAATGAAACTAGTGGAAGTGCTTCAGGATATTAGCATGGGTAAAGATGTCATGAAGAAGACATCAATAGCAGAAGTAGACAAATGTCACCATATTAACAAACAAACAAAAAATTAACCAAAATTTAAAACAAGAAAATGATCAATAGAGTAAAGCCATACCCTATAAAATGCTTATAAACTTACTTCTGACAAGGATTGGTGTTCAGAATGTAAAAAGAACTCAAAAACTCAATGCTTAATTATTTACTATCAAAAGATTTGTCGAAAAGGGAAGAATGTGATTGCTTCTTTCAAAGAAGAAATTAAAACAAATTGTGAATTTTATATATTTTTGTTAATTTTTCAACATCTTTCAATGCATGTTTTTTTTCCCCCCTTAGGCACATACTCACAGACAATAATTTCATTTATTCCATCTCAGGATACTAGATAAATATAATTTTTTACTAAAATAATGAAGATTTTTAAAGCTACCTAGAGTTTTCATATATTTTTGGCCTTTTAATTTCAATTGGTGTGAGGTTGATTCAGGACAAAATATTTTTGAAGGCTCTACAACAGCAATTTGTATAAGGTTTTATGGAGGGATCAAATTTAATCAAATTTAATATATTAATGTTTGGATAAGATACATAATAGCAACTGTGATATGTTTCTTAGTTAATTTACTCTTCACTGAGACAAAGTAACCGACACCTGAAGTTAAAAGGTAAAAGGTTTATTTAGCTCCCAGTTTGCAGGTTTCAGCCTATAGTCAGCTGGCTCCAAGTCAGGATAGTATGGCGGACAGAGGAGAAATAGTTCATGGCAGGAAGAGAGGGTATAGCAACGGAGGCGACCACAGCTCTTTCTATCCTTATAATTTATCCAGGTCACTTAGGGCACCTTTAGTCCTAGTGTCCTTGATCCTTAGAGCACATGAATCATTTCCAGTGTCACACACTCTAAATCCAATCACCTCTCAAAAAGCACACCAGCGACCACATGAGGGAAGATATAACAGTATCTATGTTGAAATAAGCATCTCTTGATTTCATCTGAAATCTCTTCCTCAAAAAACATTTAACTCTAGTAATAAAACTATTACTTTCATACTATAATGGGTACAGAATACAATAGTCTATGACTGTAACATTCTTTTTTCTTTTTTTATTTCAATATTATTTTATTAAAAAGTTCACAATTAGAGCACTTGTAATAACACAACACATTTAAAAGCAACAAAGGCTGCCCTGAAAGTACTTTTCTGGAAACACAGAAGAATGTAGCATGTATGGAATTCACAGTGCACTGTAGGACTCCGTAGATTAATAAAATCTATCATCTGTGGGAAATTATTAAATTATGGCAAAATTAGCAAAGCAGGTGAATGGTACAAATAGCTAAAGATTTCACTTGGCCCAAGATAAAAGTCAAAGGAAAAAACCAAACCTACAGTCACTCAGTGTTTTCTACCATCTGCCAACATATTTTCATTGAAAAAAAAAAAACTTGGAAAAAAGCATCCTGTATAAAAATCTATAAAGATCTCATCATATTTTTCAAATCTGGTATCATGGAATGAAAAATAATCTTCTCAGATAGGTGAGAGTGATTATCAAAAGCAACATACAAACATCATAATGGAAAAGTTTATAAATTAAATCTATCTTTCATTTTACCAAATTTTATAGTACTCTGCCCTGTTAATGTGTCCTCCATGTGGAAGATACTCCTTAAAAACAATGGCAAAATATGTTTAAAGCACAGAGAGTTCAGAAGACAGAATGGCAGCATTTCTATCTTGATCATCATTAATCAGCACCATAAAATGTTAACTCCATGTGCAAAAATAAGCCTCAATCACCCAATATAAAGCATTAATAAATGGTAAAATCACTTAAGGAACAAGCTATGTAGGAAGAACTCTAAATAAGATTTTGCAAAAGTGACTGACAATTAACTGTGAAAGATACAGAATAAGGTACTATAGAGTGGAGTCCAATGAGCTTCACATCAATATTCATCTGCGGGAAAAGAAGTGAGGAATCAGTTTCTTTGATAAAACATGGCCTGGATGACTGGAGAATGGAACTGTGGTGTCTGCTTCTTAGGGTGCTTTGCCAGTGCTGCGCTGCCTGTAGTGGAAAAGACTCTTGGAGTCCACGTTGCGAGATTTCTGCATAGCCACAGGAAACAGTTTGGTCACCTGAAAATTAGTGAGGAGAGCAACCCCACTGTCAATGGCTGTCCTGCGAGTCACGTTAATTGTCATGGACAAACTTCGTGTTGTTGTTGGGAAGATTAATCACTAGGTCGATGCTGCTGTCTTCCATCAATTTTCTGATGGAAGGGAGACTGGGGTTCTGTCCTTCCTGAGATGGCCATGCCACTGGGCTGGCAGGGACATTGTTGGCGTTCAGCCAGTCTGATGTAGCTTCTGTAGCAAAGAGCTTACAACCTTCTTTGTGTAGTTGTTCTGCCACACCAAGGAATCTTGGCCGGAATGATTGCTGGGTCCCAATGAGGGTACCTTTCTGTGGTAATTTAAACCCAGTAGAAAGCATTGCCTTTAGGAACGCTGTGTGAATATCTTCACCAAAGCAAACCACCTCTCCAGTGGAAGCCATCTGCATCTGAGGATGGGGTCAGCATCCCTCAGCTGAGGCCAGGAAAACACTGGAGCCTTAATCGAGACATAGTCAGCAGGAATTATGGGACGCTCCAGGATCGGGAGGTGCTGCTCATCAATTTGCTCACCGGTCATCACCTTGGTGGCCACATCGATGAAGTCAACCCCAAGGGTCTTGGAAAACGAAGGGGAAGGATCGAGAAGCCCTCAGGTTGCACTCAATCACCAAGACATCATTTCCTTTCACAAGAAATTGAACATTGAATGGGCCAGAGATGGCAAAAGCTTTTGCAATCTTCCGGGTGGCATCCTTCACCTTTTCGATGCCTCCTTGGCTGATGCTTTGTGTGGGCAGCATCAAAGTGGCATTTCCTGAGTGAACACCTGCATCTTCCACGTGCTCCGAGATGGCGTGCGCAATCATCCGTCCATCTTTGCCAACAGCATCCATTTCTACTTCCCGGGCTCCTTCTATAAACTTTGTCAGCACCACTGGGTGTTCCTGAGAGACCCTGGTGGCCTCCTCCAGGAACGTATTCATCTCATCCTTGGAGAACACCACATTCATGGCAGACCCACTCAATACATAGGAAGGTCTCAACAAGCAGGGGTAGCCCACAGACTCAGCAAATTCCAGTGCTTCATTCAAAGTGTTAACAGCTTTCCACAGTGCCGGGGCCACCTTCAGCTCATCCAAGACAGCTGAGAACGTGGACTGGTCCTCAGCCCTGTCGATCTGCATCAGGCTGGTCCCCATGATCCTGACACCATTCTTGTACAGAGAGACCGCTAGGTTGTTTGGAATCTGACCCCCAACTGAGATGATGCAGCCACTGCATGCCTCCTGATGGTAGATGTCCAGGATTCTCTCCAAAGACAACTCTTCAAAGTACAGTTTGTCACACTCGTCAAAGTCAGTGCTCATGGTCTCAGGGTTGCAATTGACCACCACTGTCTTCTTGCCAAGCTGACGCAGTGTACGGATGCTGCAGACAGCACACCAATCAAATTCCACACTGCTGCCAATGTGATAAGGACCACAGCCCAGCACCATCCATGCTCATCAAAATTGATATCATGCTCCTGACCGTTGTAGGTCACATACAGGTAATTTGTTACAGATGGGTATTCTGCAGCCAGTGTATCAATCTGTTTAACCCAAGGGCGGATGCCTTTCTACAGTCTCAGCTCCCTCATCTGGGCCTCAGTCAGTCCTAGGCATTTTGTGATCTGCTTATCTGAGAAGCCAATCTCCTTCGCTTTCCTCAGGGTCTCCTGGGAAAGGGACTCACTGGAATAGACAGCAGAGAGGGTTGGAGCTCAGAACAAACACAGCCCAAAACCCTGAGCTGCTCCATTTCAAAGAGCAACAAAGACTCCTCATTTTGCTCCTCGACTGTAACATTCTTTTTGTTCTATTTTCTATTTCTAAACCAATGGCTTAGAGACATTCACTAGTTTCCACTGGGTCTTCTACTTTTCAACATTGTCATATTGGGACCAAGTTTCTAGATCATGAAAAACTGAGAAACAAGCCACAGGCAAATCAGGGAGATCACTTTGTATTTTGCCTTTTAAGTAAAATCTTAAAAATTTAGTTTTTTCCTTTTTTTATGATACCACATATGACTCAAAAGACATGTTAAAGTAACCCAGATGAGTTTTCTTGTCATTATAATGCAGGAATTTTTCAATGTTTGAATAATTCTTTTTAGCTCTTAAAATACAATATTTATATAGGTTAATGAAGAATTTTTCATAAAAATTCAATATCTTAGCCCAATAAGGTACAAGTAGCCTCTTGGCCTGTAAAGAAGTCCAATGCCTTACTATTTACATGAAGAGTAAATTTTATCTGGATGCTTTGTTTGTAGAATATTAAAAATCAAGAATGGATGTATTTTGAGGTGATAATATTCAGTGAAATAAATGAGAAACACAAACTTAAGTATTGCATGGTTTTTTTATGTGACAAACCTAAAAGTTAAAAGAATAAATAAAGAGTAAAATAAAAGATAGATAATAGGAAGGAGGATGACATATGTCTCTCAAATGAAAAAGGAAATCAGGGATAGAGGCATGAGAGGGAGAGAAGACAGAATGTTAAAAAGAATAAACACGTGTTTTGAGTTTGTACCAAACCTCACAAGAAATGCAACCATGTACTGCAAATATGTATTGATAAAAATAAAAATTGAAAAAGGAAAAGTTGTATGTTTCCCAATGAATTGAGAAATATTGATAATTTACCCAAATAAACAGCATTTTTGATTATCATCTGAATTATCACTTCAATATCTGGAGTACACTTGAGTAGATTGTTCTTTTAATCTGCTAAAACAGTTGACTATTTATTGCAAGCCAGGCATTAGGTCACGGATGACTCACGTATGTCCTTTGTCTTATCTGAGTCACCAGTTAATTACCACATTGGCTCTTCTGCCCCATTGGGTAACAGTCCAGTGCAGATACAGGGCTTGCACCATCGGGTTTGCCATGTGAGTCGGAAACACCTGCTACAAAAGAACAAAAGGCAATCTTGTAACGGGTCATTTAATAATTGACTTAGACAGAAAAATAGCAGTTGGTCTTTTTCTGTTCTCAATACCATTATTCATCTTCTCAAGTGGCAGTGGACACAGTAGGAAGACATTTTCTTGTTGAATGGAGAAATATGAAATTAAGTCTGAGGTAGACTTGGATGTCTAGTATTTCATCCACAGTGTTGAGGACACAGATTTTGCTGGTCCTATTCAGACAAAGATTTTATGGTTTCATTTCCCAAATGGTGCCTAAAGAGCAGCATCAATCTGTAGGTGACTTCCAGTTCTTGATGCAAGTATTGGTCTTAAGTGAAACGGTGCACACTCTTTCTACTCCATTAGTAACACTCAAAAGCATGTAGTTCATGTTCCGGTTCTTGTGGGTCTCTGAATCCATTAATAGCAGTTACAAGTTTAGTTTACAATAGACAGAAGAAAAGATTAGATATTTTTGGTCCAATTGTATTATAAATGTTACACAGCTCTCCCTTCCTTTGAGCTATGATCTCCCTTTAAAATTCTAGCTGACAACAAGCTCTGGCAGTAAGCAAGGATGGCACCCATGGCATGCCAGAAGCTTCCCAATGAGTGAGGCTCAGATGGCTACCACATCTAAGTGATTTTGAGAATAGTGCAGCTACATCAGTTACAAACTCTTATTCAGTCCTGGTATAAAATTTACATTATATTATATTAAATTATCAAAAGATAAATCAAAATAAATAATTTGTGTACAGTTATAGATTAATTTGAAAATTTAAGGAAAAAATATGAATACAAGAGAAAAAAGATTAATGAAATCAAGTAAAATAGCAGGACATATACAAATAAAAATAAAATGAAAATTTAGACTCTATTAAGAGAAACACCATCAGGAAATGAAAAATCTTATTAAAGAGTTCATGAGATTTTGGTAGAGAATAGTTCATTCAGCTTAGAAATTGTGACATCTCATTACATTAACTTTACATTAACTTTTCCTTGTATATATTTTCTTTCCAAAATATAAATTATTTTATTATAATTTTAAAATATTTTACCTGTGATTAAAAATAAACAAAATACAAAAAGCTGTGGGAAGAGTAAGAAATTTCCCCCGATAGCTGAGGTGAAATGTATTTAATGAATGTAAGTATAATATGTAAAATCTGGATAATGATATTAACATCTTAAGAAAAACATTGACAGGAGAATAATAAAGAAAAATAAGGGTGGAAAGGAGGCTAGATAAACATTTTGACTTTGGTCCTTCGAGACTATGACTCTGAAAGAATGCACATAAAGAAAGTTTTGTGTTGTGAAGTTTTCTCTCCTGTCGGTCCCTCTTAGGAGATGGGAGGTACCAAGCTTTGAAATCAGTTGAGCTGGAGTCACACATTTGAATCACAAATTATTATTTTCCTGATAATCATTTCCAGCTACCAAGTCACCTCATAATAAATGGGATGACATTATATAACTTGTCATCAGAGAGAGAATTCACTTGTCAGGGTTGCACAAATGTCCCATCCATTGGGCCCTTTTATTTTCTTGGAAAATATTTTTGACACTGGTTTTATGCACTGGTTTCTTCAGATTTATGGTCATGAGTTGGTATCTGCTCAGGCACCAGGAAAATCAAGAGCCAGGCTTTCTAAGCTGAAAACTGACTTTTGGTGATGGCAAATTTAATGATTATGGTTGGCATTTTTGGGGGATGACATTAATCTGTTAATATGCACTTATATTTTTCCCATTAGACATTGTGCAAATAAAAAAAAAGTGGATTATGTAACATTTCCAATAAACTTTGAGGTTTTGAGGATTATTTTTATGTATTTAGTAGTTAAAACATTAATGAACATAATTTTTACATTTATACATTTCTTAAAAAATGTGAAAATTCATTACAGAGGGATTACTATCATTATCACCACCATCATTTTTTAGGGATGAGGTCTTTATGATTTATCCACTCTGTACTAAAATTAACAGGCTCAAGAGATCCTCCTGGCTAAACCTCTGAAACACTGGGACTACTATGCACAGGTAGGTAAAAATTCATAGTTTAATAGAGATGTGGATTTAAGTTATGATTACAAGAAGCTTGCTGTGATATTTGGGAAATCTGTGAATGAACTGATTGGCTATTTTATTTTACATCTCAGTTCTTCTTTGTCATCCTCTTTACCTTCTGAATAATTTTATACAGTTTTCATTTATGAAAGATAATGGAGCTATAGCAGTGAAGCTGACATCTGATACTGAAGATGAAGTTTGAAATATCTAAGAACCATATATGATGCTTTATTTAAAAGTTTACTTTATACATATTTTCTCATATCTTTAAAAGCATTTTAGACAGATTTATAAAGGGTCCATAATATTTTAATATATGTTTGTACCTTATGCATTTGAATACTTACCCTAGATGGGGTCTTTAGCCTCACTTCTCACTTTTACTACTGTTATAAGGTCTTAATATAAATATAAATATAAATATTTATATTTAAAAGGAAGTTCCTATGTTTATAAAATTTTCCTAAAATACCTGAAATATTTTTGTTTTTAGTTTTCTAGAAATGTCCACCAAGTATATATTACAGTACATAAAGTTAAATTTGATTTGTTTTACAACCTTACTATTCTTAAAAAATAAAGAGTAGAAGATTCCATCATCCATCTTAATTTCCCCATTCCATCTTCTCTGGGAGACTACAATCTCTCAGACAAGCAACAAAATAGAGAACTAACTTCTTTGGATTTACATAGAAACTCTTATATACAGTATTATTTAAAAGTATTACTACAATGTACTTCATTTTTAAGATAAAAGACAAAAGACTAAGGTTATAGTTCACAAAATTTGATGAAGATAACTCCTAGACAGACTCATTTATTATCTGATGTTGGGTTTAAAATAACATTAATCTCTGTCCTTAGCGTTAGATAAAAATAACTCTATTTCTAGTTTTTGAGATTTTTGTTCAACTTTCAAGATGTGAGCATTTCTAATTTCTAGCTGGAGATTATCTTGCTTTTTAAGTAAAGCATGAATAGTGTCTTTGATGTGGGCTTTGCATCTTAGGATCTTTTGCTAACATGAATCTTATCTCTTTTAATAAATCAACATTTGGTGGTTGTTATAACCTCTTTCAGGTACTCTCAGTAATAGACCATGATTTTCTGAGTATGGAAATGTGCAGACTAAAAAAAAACTAAAATAGAATATACCTTTTATTTTATTTATGATATGCATTATCTTTGTATTCAGAAAAATTTTCCTTTAAAATTTTTAGTGTGATTTTTTGCTTGAAATAAATGTTTTCATAAAAGTCATTCACACTTTAATTATTGCTTTTTTAACAAGGAATCTAAAGTATTTCCATGACATTATTAAATTGATCTTATGATCTTTAATAAAAAATTTTAAGATACAATTTTTGAAACAAAAATATTTTAAGCATATCAAATTTTATTAGTTGTACGTAAAAGAAGATTGAATGTTTCTCATTAAGTGGATTTTTAAATTTTTACTTTAGCATTAAATTTGAAAATACTGATTGTGATGTCAGATTCTAGTATACAAAGTACTAGTTATATTACTGTAAAGAATTTACACTTCTTGTATCACAGTTTCCTCACCTGTAAAATATGCAGAACTATAGCAACTACTCATACAATTATAATTATTTTAAAGATATGAAAATTTGGGGCTGGGGATTTATCCCAGTGGCATAAGCACCTGTCTTGCAAGCAGGTGGTCGTGAGTTCAATACCTGGTACCGATAAAAAAAAAAAAAAAGTGGTAAAGATATGAAAATTAGTTAACATAGCCTTATTTAAAAAATTAATTAAGAGTGAAAATACTTGGTAAAATTTTGGTAGCAGGATAATAATACTTGCTTCCGGGAATGGGTTAGGGAGGATTGCTTCCCTTTCGATTTCATTAAAGAGTTTCATTAAAGAGTACTGACATTAAATCTCTAAATTTCTTGTAAAATTCAGCAGTGAATCCATCATGACCTAGGCCTTCTTTGTTAGTAAAATTTTCATTACTTTCTCAATTTCATTAACTGATATTAGGTTACTCAGAATGTTTATATCCTCTTGGTTCAGCTTGAGTAACTGCCAAATTTCTAAGACTCTGTCTATTTTTCCTGTGTTTTCCATCCTATATGAGTAAAGATTTTTAAAGTAGGGATTAACAAATTTCTGATTTCCACAGAAACTGTAGTGATTTCACCCATTTCATTCATCATTCCATGAATTTTTTACTTTTTCATTTTTTTGAGAAGGTTGGCTAGTGTTTTATCAATTTTATTTATTCTTTCAAAGAACCAAGCATTCTCGTTATGAAATAAACCCATAACAAATGCTGTTGGGGTTATGGGGATAAAGGAATTCTTCTTCAATGTTGGTGGGAGTGTAGACTGATAGAATCACTGTGGAAATCAGTGTGGCAATTCCTCAAAAAACTAGGATTAGAGTCCCATTTGACCCTTTCTGAGAATTTTCCTAGAAAAATTAAAAAAAAAAAACATACCACAGCAATATACGTACACCCAGGATTATAGCGGCACAATTTATAAAAGCTAAATCTTGAAAACAACCCAAATGTCCATCAAACAAGGAATGTATTAAAAATATATTAAAAATACAATAGAGTACTGCTCATCCATAAAGAAGTATAAACAAGGCTTTTATAGGTAAATGGATGCAACTCCAAAACACACTCAGAAATGAAATAAATCAGACTCACACGTGTAAACATTGTATTGTCTCCCTCATATAAGAAACTGATACAGTAAATAAGATACAAAATTTGCAATAGAAACTGTGAAAGGAAAAGAAATTTCTCAAAAGGAAAGAACAACTGGGATTGGAAAATGAAGGATAGGGGAATATATATATATATATAACGGGGGCTAAGAAAATTATACTACTAATTTCTATTAGTTCATTGAAATGAACAGTTTGTGTTGATATTGTTT